CTTGATGAGTATGTATAGAAATGATCGAAACCTTTCTCAAAGTAATATGACATGCCCGACTGGATGAGACAGCACACCACCAGGGCTAGGCTCCCTGGGCGTAGAGAACCCGTTAGCCGTAACATTGTAAGGAGTATTCCACCTGCTTCACAGGTAGACTATGATGACTCGCCTAAACCTCCACAGTTTATAACAGTGTCGTGGCATATGTACAGTCTATTTTGGGCGGAGTCTCCCAAAAGGTTGTCGTGCATTATCTTTATTGATAAACGAAACATCACTATGGGCGTGTCCTTTCTCGGCGAATTGCAAACTGTTTGAGTATACCCTGAAAAACGTAACCATATACTTCCGTGATGATGTGCACACTACACTGTGCTATATGAAACACTCGGCGTAGGCTTTGTACACAATCAAATTGACGAACGTTAAACACCGGCCGTCAATCAAAAGGAGGTAGATCATAACAGATTGTTTATTTGCTACAGGAATTCATTTAAAAACGTAGTTATATTGCGAATTCATTCGCTGGGGCACATATGTATACTGATAACGTGCATGATCAACACATGGGAAAATATTTCTTATGAAATGGGTCTCATGCACTTTTTGATTGCGCTGGCGGGTAGTTGTTTGATACTGCCTGTACATAGTGAACACTTTCGGGAACAGTTTACGTATCTGACTGACTCAGAGGACGTCGTCTCCATTGATTCAGCAGGCAGAATACGGACTTTTATTGACCTGGATGACCGGCAAACTGTTAAGGTAAATCTATTGTAATTGCTGGATCTATGTAGATGTTAATGTAGTTCAATCTTTATTATTCGAATGAGACTTCTTTATTTTGAATAATGTATTCTCGACCATGTAAACGTTTTTTGTTTTCTTTCTGTGTTTTAACAAGAGTAAAAATAGCAAAACTTTTAAGATCCTAACAGAGGCTGTCGTTTGTAGGTGTATGATATATAACTATGGTATACGAGGCTGTAAAATGTGAGTGAGAACCGAGACTTTGACAAGGTTCTGACACCAAATTCTGCACCTGAAGGTAGAATATCAATATCCCATTCCTACATCTGCATACCATATAAATGTTTTGAAGCGGAAGATGTTCTTTCTCCCAAAAGATAGGTTGTTCTTCCCTACGTTTGATTACACATTGGAAATAATAAAGAAAACAAAGATGCCCTACGATATATTGCACTCCATAGCATTAAGCACTTTATTATCCCAAACCAAACCTGTATAGATCTTCGAAAAACTTGGTTGGCAAGCTATATGGGCATGTTTTACATGTAGATATGTCATAATCTGCACTTTTTTTACAAATAAGACTGCACATGCTCTTAGGGAATTTACCAAGTCATTTCGATTTCATAACACACGTGAAATCGTTAACCATCTTGATATTGTGTCTTTACGGTAACTAGTAAGATGATAAACCGACTACTACATTGTAAGATTTTGAAAACAAATAATATGATAATGACTCCAGGAAGGCAAACATAACGCAAGTAATTTGAACGCTTACTTCGGGTTTCTTGAAACTATTGCAAGTAACAAGATGGTGTACTATCAATCACAAAGGTTGTGTTGATTCATGAGCCATTACCTGATATTTCTGGTAATTAATCTCTTATTCTAACTTTGACATAAAACTCTTTTTCTTTCGTCATTTAGTGTTACTGATAAGATTTATGGTACTGCTATTTTCAAATTAACCAATATTGTGATTTATGTACTAGTTTGATTATGTAATATAGCCATTTGTTTGATTATGTAATATACCCATTTGTTTAATTGTGTTATATTACGCATTAGTTTGATTTGTATTTCGTGTCTCTTTATGTTTATGGATATGCCATACAATTATTTGCGTTCTGTCTAAGGTTGTCGTACACAGGTGATTCGAGTTTGTTAACTGGTAATATGTACCTATATGACGCTGCTTTTTTCAAAGCAATCAACTGTCTGTTAAATGTAACGGTTTGGTGATATAATTTCTCAATAAAAGTTTGTTTTCCATATCTTTGGTATGTTTATCACTGTCTTTTTTAATCATTTAGAGGATAAAATGCTCAGACCATAGAATTTCGGTTGCTTTGGCTGAGTCTGAAAATATCAGTATATCCTGGATGGCTGGAGACCTTGTCATTGGAAGTTTCACGCCGTCGTGTTCGACCGGAAGTGTCCTGCCAAATTATGATGTCAATGGTATTTTTGCTAAGGTAGAATATATACAACGTTTCCAACGACTTCTGGAGCTTCAAGTAATACGAGCAGAGTAAGATAGCATTTTGTACTTTGAAAAGTAACATTGAATCATGTTCATAATTGACTGTCATATGAAACCTTTATAAAAACTAGTCTTGATTATTGTTCAACATATAAAAAGAAAAAAGAAAAAAGTTTAATATTCACTTTTTTATTGTTCTTTGAAATAAATATTCATATGTAGGTGAAAGTAGTACATTTACGTTAATGTAATGGATTGAAAACTTACGCAGCAACATTTATTTTCCAATTCCGCAATATTTTACCTGTGAAATTTCCAACACACGCTCATATTGGATCATACGGTTCATTCCATCGCTAAAGACATGTTTCATAATAGGTATTTTTACATTACTTATTGGTGATATCAACTAATTTTGATTCTTAACAAATACGTATGAAATGTCAATTCATATCATTGTTAATATAACAAATTTTAAGGGCGATTGAACTGATTGAGGAGGCTGAAATACATATATTTGTGAACACTGAAGCCTCGCCAGCAGTCGGGAAATCACGTGAGAAACGGCATATGTCAAATGTCCTGAAAACTTTACTCACCGACAATGACTGGAACAGCACGGTGACTACAGAGATTCCATTCAATAAACACAACAACACAATACATCTGAGCAAGTCCTCCAATATAGCTCAACCCATTCTCGACGCATTTGGAAGTGGTAGTGAGGATTTACGCACATCAAGCGACAGTGATTTCAAATTCACATGCGTTAACTGCGGAGGCACGACAAAACTTAAGTATACATTGTACGTTTGTTTTAATAGACTGTGTTGATGTTCTTCTTGGTTGTGAATTAACAGATAGTTATGACGCTGCGTATACAATATTGATGGTAAATATAACAATTATTAGGAAAATCAAATGTGTTGGTGATGTAGTCATATATTCGAAGTTTCGTAATCAAATTATATTTTATCCTCGTGACAGCGTTTGTATATATTTTTTTCTTTTTCCAAATCATAACGGTATGATTTTGCAACACGTTTGGGTAGCTCAAGACGGGTATGCTAAATAATGATAGATATTGTTATTTTTCATTGAATCTGATATATCCTATGTACAATGTTAAAACATAAATATATGAAATATCATATGTCAAACTTAAATGAAAAGCTTGTTTTGCTAATGACATACATGTAGTTTTCAAATAATATTGTATTAAACACAAAATGATACTACGTTAAACATTTTGTTTTTCTTATTACAGGCGAGTTAAAATTGAAAAAGTGAATAACAAACCTGTCATCAAAGTGTTCAAAACCGAGGTAACAGTCGCCGAATTGTTTTGAAATCACCTAATATATACTGAAATTGATTTATGTTCCCTTATGACATGTCACATGTGAAATTAACATGTCATCGCAAATGGGAATACTAGTGGCTACCTTATAGCTACTCATAAGTTCATGGATTTCTTATTTGATAAGGATATATATTTCTTATTTGGTAATAAGTATATATATTTCTTATTTCATAATAAGTATATAGATGTCTTTTTGGAAATACTAATACTTACGTATGTAACATAAACTTCAATATATACTATGAATGCCGAGTTGATAGGATATCAGAAAAATCTACATGTAACGTAGCATCATCATTATCATCATCATCATCATCATCATCATCATCATCATCTATTATTTTTCCTTGTATAGTTTAATCACATTGGTTATGTTTGTATCCGAATGGACTGTTAGGTTGAGGGAGACTTTAGCGGCCAGTACGGCTTACATGCGTCCGGTGAAACTAATATGACATTAAGCTTTGACGGTAAACTCTGGGAGACGGAACCAACAATCTACTTGATGGTTCCCATAGCCACATTTGTACGACTCCCGGCAGTCGAATTGATCGTTAAGGCCCATACCGAGGCTTTCCTTGATGTGAATGTGACGACATTAAAACCGTTCCGGATCGACCACAATATTACAACTAAAGGAACGTTTCTATACTGTAAGTTAATTGAATTTGTATTGATTTTTGTTTTCTGACAAATAATTTGTTAAAAATGAACAGAGATTTTATGTATTGAAAATAAGAAGGATTTTGTTTTCGTAATGTTACATTTGTACTTTACAATATAATCTAGCGGATGAAATTCAACAAGATGGCCAATCCACGGGCGCCATGTCATTTCCAGACTGGACCACACTAGGATCAACTTCACTACTGGAAACTAAAGAGAGGTTCAGCTTTCGCGCGACAGTTACACACAAGGTTAGACATTTTGAGAAGAAAAAATGAATGATCTATATGCAACATGCAAGGAACAAAATTTTCTTTGTTTCATTGGGATAGCTTTTTCCATTCTAGTGCATTAGCAGTATTACTCAAAACCATATTTCAAATATGTTGATTTCTCGATACTACTTTAAAATGGAATGATTGTACACCGATTCCAGTCCGTTTATATTTTTTATCTTTTATGAATTGTATGTAGAGATAACTAGATATACCATATTTTCCACTTAGAAGTGTATACGTGTACATGTGAAAATAATGATGGGATTATTTTCATGGGCATTTATTTCACCTTAAATATATACTGATGTTGTTTTGTTTTTCAATAGCAGGAATTTCGAGAACTACCGTATTTCACCTCTCCCCTAGAATTAGCGGAATTCTTTTCGTTTTTCCTTTTCTTCGTTTACAGCTTGATAACTACAGTAATTTAATCACTAAACTCAATATATTACAAATGCAACAAGAACCACATAAGACAGCAACCGTATATGTAATTTTTTGGAAATTTCATTTTTTAACATTCCGTTTTTCAGAAGTAATATTTCATCCTTTCCTAAATCTGCAATTAAAATTTCACGGTTGGTTTACCACAGCAAAGCTTTTTCTAGATATTGTGGCCTTCTTGATTTGTACGCATATTTACGTATACGTGTAACATATTTTGTCATTAGAGTTTAAATGATATAAACAATTGTTAAAATGTTTTGTGTTTTTGAAGATTCACCTGACACCGTTTATCGGATGGTCTCTCCGTGATATTACAATGGAATTTGGTGCCCCGTATGAAATACAGTAAGGAAGGGTCATTTTCAATATTTATTGTATATCTAGGTTATGTGTTTTTTAAATAAAATAATCACCCAAATTGTATTCCTAGATGAATTATTCCGGACATTATTGGAAAATCTGACAGTGAATATATTGAAATAAAATGCAGTACGGAATGACCATTCTAAATATTCATTGTATATCTGGTACAATTCATACACTTTTTGAGTTTTTAAATAGAATAAATACCCAAATTTCACCCTTAGATAAAAATGTTATTTCACCAAAGTATCATCCCGACATAAGTGGAAGATAAGACAGTAATGTATCGATTTGCATTTGAAATATTTAGACAGTGTGTTTGAGTATGATAAGTTTTATTTCCTTTCAGGTTGAATCAACACATCAAGACTGACGCCAGTGTGGAAGACACAACCTACTGTACAACTAGTGTGTCTGAGATGACAGGCTCATGGCGCCACACCGAAAACAGGCTTGACGTGGACGCGTTCGACATACATATTTGGTACAGCGAATCCAAGTTCGAACTATGTCTACCTTTTATTAATCTTTCTTTAACGTTTGAAAAAAGAGTAAATAAAAAATCACCCTATTGATGAAAATGAACCAATATTTTTTTTGGGAACATGTTAATTAAAATTATTTTAAATATAAACTTTTTCATTTAACAACAATTATGAAACAAGTACCAAAAAAAATCCCATAGGAGGTCTAACTGTTGGATGAAACAGACCAGATACTCCACTTTCCTCCCACACTAAGACCACCTGCACACTAACATCCGGAATAACAATACTGATTTATAAAAGTTATATAACTTGTTTCATAATTGGAATACAAACTTATATGTATATTTTAAATTTATTGCAATCGTGATTTTATTGTTCCAGTAAACATTTGTTAAAAATGATCATTTGTTTGAAGGGATGTCCTTTTGGAAAGTGATCAGAAAGCTAATACGTCGATATGCAAAGAGGAGATAGTACAGAAATGTAGAGCAAACTGTGCAGATCCTGTTGTAAGCGACCACAGTGGATCGGCTATGGAGACTGTATGCGGTGAGCTGGAAACGCCTATTGACAGGCACAGCAGTGATTTTAGCAGGTGAGGAAACAGACAAATATTCAATTTCTTTCTTATGCGATCATTAATAAAGTATGAACATCGTGTTTAGTCATCGTTTCATCGATTGCATCTAGGGCTCAAGTTCACGAAAAATTTCCGAAATTCATAAAAAGCATTACTTGATTTAAAACAAAAAGCTTTTTGTTAATGTTAATTTATTCAAAAAGAAAAAAAATATTGTTATGTTAAATTTAGGAACATTCGAGTAACTGTGGCCCACCAAGTTATTACGAAATGTGTATGTGCCGATTTTTGTTGCAAACGAAGTGGTTTCGATTTGTTAATAAATAATGAACTATTATCTGAGGTTGGATATTTACGTCATTACTAGCATTTTGATGACGTCACCACAAATAAGGTGCTGATTGTTATAATTCTGATGTAGTTGCATGATGCATTTGTCTTATTGCAGACTAAAAGAACTATTTGGAAGCCTAATTACATTTCCTGACAAGGACTCTGACTCCGAATGGTGTGGTCAGCCCGGAACGCCATGTTCACGATGTGATGACGAAGGAAACTCGACATGCGCAAATCGACTTCTAACGGCACAAATGGCAGCAACTGTCACTAGATTGGCTAAGTTCGTCAAATCAGAATGGGCCGATCGTGAGTTAAATCTCAAATCAGATAGCGATTATAACATGTCGAGTTGATCACCTCATTTACTAATCATTTTAATTGCACGAAGGCGTTTCTCATGCCCATAGTCGATCTGAGATGTTGCTATACTGACAAATACTTAATTCATAACATTAATATTTTAGGTAGCCTAGTGCTACTAGAAGGCTGGAGCGAACCGACGTCTCAGTATCCGAATGGTAAATACGGTGATAGCTCATTACACTATGAAGGTCGTGCTGCAAAAGTAGGAGTGAGTGTTCCAGCAAATTCATCTGATGGAAGCACCTCGCTTGAGGATCACCCAGATATTGTTAACCGTCTACTTGAACTAACTTCGTGTGCCGGATTCGCATTTTACGCGGTTACGTCAGAAACAGATAAGAACAGCATTGATACGTGTTTGAAGAAACCTGTGACACCAGAAAGGAGACGGCGGAGAGAGGCATCTAGAGAGGAACTAGAAGATACCGAAAAGCAACGTTTTTTGGACAAATTAAGCAATTTAGGTACGACGGTCCATCACACCACACAAGTACACATCACAATGTAAACCGAATATAAAAATATGAATACCTTTCTTGAATTTTTTGGAAACTGTACCTAATTATTGGGCAAGCATGCCTCTATTGAAATTATTCAAATTATGATAGTTCCTTCTAGCAAACAAATATTTACACTCTGATTTACATGTGAGTACCCTTGTGTTGCAGTTTTGAGATCCAAGCAAACGCCTTCATCTCACTTTAATACCTATTCCATGTACCCCAAGGATAAAGCTGTCATTGATATACTTGGTCCTGTTGATGAGAAATTCGCTGTGGATAATAACGCACAAATGAAAAGGTACAAAGTTTTTGACCATCATTTTCTTTTCTTTTTTAATAAGGTGCGATGGATAGTTTAGATAAATCACTTATATTCAAAATGATTGACACCTAATTCAATAATTGACTTCGATTATAATCCAGAATGAAATATAGTTTATTTTTAAATGTGTTAGAATGATGCAGTATCCACTGGCTAACGTTAGCTTTCCCCCCGAGGGTCCAGCGAACTCGGCCTGTGGCACGACCACTAGACGATGTAGGGACTGCAAGACGTACGATGTAAGGGACGATCCCTGGGATTGGTGCCTGACCCGGACAATGACCCCTAGAATGGCTTTAAGGCTTCGACGACTTTCTATTCTCAGTACAGGTCAACGTATGTTACACCTTATTTGCCACATGTTTCAACTTAAAGACAATATAACTGTCATAGATGATATTTCATTATATCGAACACTTGTCTTGCTCATAGCAAAAAAGCGTGATTGAAACGTTCCTCTTAATCTGTATTTGCTGTCCTCAAAATTAACAAGCATGTGATGGATGTCTTATCCCTTTTCCTCTGTGGTGTTTCCTCATAACGTCGTCCGCGAAAGAAATATCATGAATATATAATGTGTACCGTGGAATATATTAGAAATACCTTTAAACAGGTAAAACAAACAGTTTTTCTGTTAACATTTTGATGTTTTTTAAGATGTAATTGTATGCAGTTGTTATATCAACCAGAGCTATTTTATATAGTGCTTCTGGTTTGTTTTATTTTTGTATGATCAGTGGCTGTGGTAGTACCACAGGAACAAGACGATGCCGATGTCATGAAATATGGGAACGTCGGCAGGTAAGGAACAATCTCTATAATTTGTTTCCAAGGTAATTTTTTAGTCAAATAAAAACAGTGTTTATACTTAGGGATATAAACGTATGCAGTCGTGATCGTATCCCATCCAGTCGCCTGGTAAATACCGATCTCATTGCAAACACATACAAATTAGATAAAACCGAGATGAGTGAAATGTTTTCACAATCTTCCTGTAGGATAAGACATTACAGCCGAGTACAGGTTAAAGAGAAAGGATGACCTTTAAATTACACACAGCGTAGATCAATTATCTCAGAAAGAAACGCCTGGTTTAGTAGATAAGTGTTGACAAGGGCACATATAAGCCTTTTAAGGTTCAGATTAAACTATTTATAAGCAAATTGTGTAACATTGAAACACACTAAGTGAAGAATGGTGGTATGTTACTACAGAGAAAAGTAACTTATTATGAAATTAGAAATGATACGGAAACCTCAGAAGTCGATGACATATTGATATGTTCTCATATTGAAAGTCAGTTGTTACTTTGAGTGTTTCTATCATAAAACATGAAGGGTTTAACGATATTGTTGATTTTGTTTAGCTTCAAATATAGATGAAGTACTTGACAAATGTAACTGTAATTATGTGTATGATAAATAGTATCATTGAGCACAACCAGTAAATCTTATTCTGGTACAGTTTGATGATGTTTACGATGTTACTACACTCTTGCTTGTCACCTTTACCAGGCAAATCACCAGTGAGAGATATGGTGACTATATATACTATTGAAACCCTGATATTCTTAACCAAGATCATCGAAACAAAGTGGCATTGTTCCTGAATCTCGTTTTGAAAATAAACTTCCATTGATTCCAGTGTGTGGATGATATAAAATCGCAATTTCCTGTATAATATCTTAACCGCAAAATGTTAAGGATGACTGTATCCCACTTCACAAACATATTTACTATTTACAGAGCGTTGCGACTAAAGACTGCGACAGCAACCCTAACTCAGAAATCCCTTGCCAACCTAGCTATTTCTGCGGGGTTTGACTTCATTGCCCTTTCCGGAACTTTAACTGTGGACGTGTTTGTACGAGATCAGGCGGGTTACTGGGCCACCCTGGAGGTCTACCCTCGACTCAGCATGTTACATGTCAATCCTCCTTCATCCGATGTCGAGGATTACAAACCTATATTCGTGAAATCAGAGTCTGCCGAAACTATTTCCGGTATAGTTGATGGCATCAATGACAAGTTACACATATCTGACAATTACATCGTTTCCGATTTTAAGCCATTTGATAAACGTTATTTTCGTGTGGACCTGCGACTATTGGAATGCCTGGAAGAGGTCACTAGTGATTTAGGCAGTAGACTACAGATTTTAACGAGCTACAAAACTCGTTCAATGAACGACGAAAACATCGAGGGAAGACATGACGAGGAGAAAATATTTTACACCCGAGGCCAAGCTGTACAGATAAAGGGTTATAGCATCGGTGACAAAACTAGCCATGACCTAACTACCATTGCCTCCTCGCTGATCAAGACATGTGTCCCTGCACTAACTCTTAAGCAGATGACATTGAGTATCGGCTGCCATGCTACGTTTCTGTATGTCGATGTGAGGGAGAAGGAAGGCGATATCTCCGTCAACTTCTGGAACGCGGGCAATGACCCTTTACATAACAGCGTGAAACGTTTGGTAGAGGTTCATCAGAAAGGTAAGATGAGCATTATGATATGTGAACCTTCAATTAAACATAACACGACTTTAAATCATATATGTTTATAAAGTGTTTTTTAATGTTGATTTGTTTAAGAAATGAAATGAATACGTATATTGCATATAATTATAATGATGGTATGCAACAACGTTCTGTTCACACCACGCATCTTGAAAAACAATGTTTGAATGGTACTCTGTTGCAAACAATTATAAAAGTTAAAAAAAAACCTGCTTTTCAATCCTTCAACACAACAAGGACAATCTTATTTTATCAAACTTTGTTATCTAATTCGTTTCAAAATCATTTGAATTCAAATGCTTTTTAAACTGTCGGAATTGCCAATTTGCAGGAACAAAATCGCACTTTCTTTTGTAACTCAGTTTTGCAAGGTAATTCCCTTCGTATTATAAATTTAACATCTATCTTTGGTTTCCCCTCCATTACCCGTACAGTTTGATAATCATGTGAACAGATTATTGGTGTTGTTGGATTTTAACAACATTGGAAGAATAACCTAAGGACTGCTCATAGAAAATGTGGATATACTGATTTTTTACAGGTGGAGTTCTAGTCCAAAGTAAAAATACTGGCACAAAGTGCAGTCGCCAACCATTAGGAACTGAAGCGTTCTACATCAAATACGGGGACAGGTATGGTGTTATACACGTTAAGTTTAAATGTTCATTAACACAATATGGTCCAAGAATAAACGTTCTACGATATATTAAAATATGTATCAATATAAATATGGATATCTGTAGGATATAATAGGTAAGTGTAGGTAAGGGTATATTAAGTAGGGTGTAAATTAGTAGGTGTTTGTTTGGAGATGTGTAACATATGTATAATCTTTTATTTATATTTTAAGGGTAGGTGCATGCGTGAAAAGTACATATCTCGCACTTTAGTCGTCTCCTAGAACATGATATGCACGACAGGAAGGGTATATCCTTAGCCTCGCGTTACAACGCACTTTGAACAAGAACTCACTTTAAACAAATGATCAAACTGTGTTACAACGGTGTTGTGGTTCATCAAGACATTTAACAGTTTTATTTGTGTTTACGATCGCGTTAAAGTAGACCCATATTTAAAGCAACATACAGAATTATCTAAGTTTCTGATTTGTTAAAAAGTGTGATGTAACAGACATATGTAATGTTGTTCCCTTTCAGACAAATTAAGTAACTTTAAACCTCTTTGAGAATTAAACATTGCTGTAATCATGATTCTTTAAAACAAGTGAAAGTAAAATGCGTTTTTGAATTAAATACATACATTATGTTACGTAAATCATTCTGATATGTTTGGTGCCAGTGACTGTACCCCAGGTGGTTATTATGCCAACTTTTGTGATGACACTAAAAAGCATAGAGAGGACTTGTCCGCCAGCCTCGTGTCACATCTCTGGTCGGGTGCGCAAGCACTCTCCAAACCTAAACTAGCCGGACAAACCAACGCCTGCTTGGTCAACAACTGTGGGGGATGTATCGGCAAAGGTACAGCTATGAATACTTAGTAGTTCGTAACACGTACCTTTTAACTATTTGTTTTTTCTATTAATTTCTTTTGTGTGTCATGAATAATAATTTCTTTGTCATATTTGCTTCTTGTTAAAACCATTGTAACGTGCGGGCGGATCCCAGGATTATACCGCATCACTTACCCCCTTTGAGAAGTCTCGCCCGTAGATTTGGCCTGTGGAATTCCATGGATCCTCCCTTTGTACCAATGCATCTTTCCCTACCTCCCGGAGCTGGCCTTAAATGATCACACAGAGTCACTATACTGCCACCAAATGTAACGTGCGGGCGGTCACCAATATTGATCCAGTACTGACCACGCTCGACGTTGCTGAACTTGTGATCGGGTCCCCATGCTATACCGCATCGCTTGAAAAGCTAGCTTGCCAGTTAGGCAGTAGTTTTCTCTTAAATTCCTAAGCTGATGCACACTTATGTAATGGAACATGAAACAAATAAAGGCAGGTAAATTAAAGGAACAGACAAAGCTTTATAATTGTATCCATAAAGATCGCAAAATGTTTTCCGTTGTTACTGAAATATAACGAAACTTATAGAAATGTAGCATTATTTAGCTGTTTTTGCAATATATTGCACTTGTTGTTTTTGCTATTCATGCTAGGTGATGTCTGGAACAGAAAGCTCCACGCCTGCTTTGGTCTCCTGAAGATGATTACTGATGCCACGGCCTCTCCCTTCCCTGATATGACAGATACCTCGGCATTCTTCAATACGGAAAATCACGACTCGAAGATTCAATCATTGGCATGCCATGACGACAGCGTTTGCATTGAAAATCTTCCACTCTTCTCACACTTCAGTGCGTAGTTGTTTCTTTTCTATTCAATTAGCCTGTTAGTCGATCTTTTAAAACTGTATTGTGCAGTTTTTTGTTAACGTCTCGCTTATCTCAAACATTAATTGGTTCAAAATGTACTTGTCTGTACGAGAGAACTATCTCTTATCTTAGATTTAAGAATGCATTACTACTCAGTGCGTTAAACCTCTTGGTTGTTCAAACAGGTTGTACTTGCATGTGCAGTATTTTCAAAGGTCACGTAACACACGAATTGAGATACAGATTATCGGCCTTTTAAATGTCTTTGTGTGTATTATGTGATGCGATAACATAGTTTTGTTTATGTTTCCTGCGACTATTGAGTTGCATTGTAATTGGATATGTAACGTAGTACCTCGTGAGGACAAGTAAGCATCGATATGTTTCTATGCATCAACGATACCCACGTGTATACACAATATTAAATAACGAGTAATAAATATATCCGTCTTTACATGATAACGAGCTTATTTTTCACAGTATTTAGTTACGCAAGGACAGGTGTGAAGAAACTTTATCAAAATTAATTACGTCCCAGTTAAAGGTAGTATGATGGGACATGTCTACATCCTGCGGTATTGCACATTTAACTGTTTACTTAGACCATTTTTCCACTTGATTTGTATATTTTGCAATCCAAATATTCTATTTATGTACGAATAAGATTGGAAAAACTGCGTGCAAGCCTGAATAGCGCACAGCCAGCATACGCGATATGCACATTATTGTACATAAACTAGAAGCAATGTGCATACATGTATCTTGTTCTCATAATTAAGTGGTCGTGTATATGTCATTGAATGGAAATGCATTCTTTTAGTTACAACGGTGAACAAGAAATACCGACCATTTGAGGATAAAACAATCGAAGAGATGCTGTTTGGACCAGGAGATAACCCATCACCTCTACTCGATATGTTAGAACAAGAAATGGCGTACCGGGTCAGAGGTCATGTCCGGGTTTATATAGAAACCAAAGACGACCTGTCTGCTTTGGATCAGGTTTTAAAGGTAATCAAGATAAACATCATATTATAATGTTTAATGACAAGTTAGTCCCGTTCGTCATAATATCTACCCGACATCGCAGCTCACTAAATGCAGATGATTGTATTGGTTCTTATTTGCGTTAAATCCTATCTGGATTCTGTCGAAACACAGTATGTATATATTTAGATACAACAATCACAGCACGATAAAATAAAAGTTTTGCAGTAAATAGCTATAACAAATTAGCGGCCTTGGATTTCAGAAAAGAAACAAATAGTATATATTACGTCTTTGAATTTGGTCAGGGGAAACTACATGTACCATCGATAAGTTCATAAAAAATAGATTGTTTTAAATCTTCGCTTAATATTAATACATGCAATTTTTCATCCATGTTGATTAAATTTGATATAGTATGGACATACGTTTCCAAATTGTACATGCTGATGTAATCAGTTCATAAACCAACAAAAACATATATATGTAAATGTGTTCTTTCAGATTTTAATGGTGTACAACAAGAATGTGACAGAACTCTCCGTTGAGATAATAAACGAGTCATTGCGTGACTTCACCAGACTTAGAATGCAAAAGAAAATTGAAAAATGGAGTAATTCCGTCTGTCCCTCTCTCAGTCGACAAGTCATCGCCCCTTACACCATATCTCCAATACCGGAAGTTCGAACACGCCGCAGTATAGAACTCAGTAAGCATCGAAACAAACGGAAAGCACAAATGCGGAACTGGGAACTGGAATGGGCTTCGAATATTAGCCTGTAATAGAACGTTGATAAAACGTTACTCAACATATACCTTTTATTCTGAATAAGAATTGCATATAACCATAACTATCAGTGTTGTGCTATCCCCCTCGTACTGTTTAAAAGTGTCCAGTTGTGTTTCTTTTCTCTCTGTACAGCTGTAGTGTACAATGTGTATCATGTTTTTAAAATAATCCGTTACTTGCTTCCTTCTTGTTTGTGCACTTAATAAATTTATAAAAAAGCGATGTATCAGTGGCAGAAACGAAAAGAAACGAGGGAGGGAATGACAATTTGGACTTCATGTAAAAACTTTGATTGAAATGTTGAGTAGACTATGTATAACGATATGATTTTATTGCAAGTCTTCATTGATCTTCGTAAGACATGAGTTGTCACGTGGTGTGCTGACTGCATTATTGCCATTTCATTTGGTACAAGTTCTTGCGTGACGTCCTTTTAGTAGGCATAATAGTTCGACTGCAGATAACATTGTAAAAGAACTGACCCTCCTCCCTCCCACACCAAAAATAATGATAGATTAATAAATTCGGTATTCCCTTCTTGCATGGATGGTTAAAGCCCTCGTCAAGTTCGTCTTTACGCGCAATTCGCCAAGCCAAAGCGTTGGTTTAACTCAAATGTGACATTGCTAATATATCATTCATACTGACAAGCACGAACGTTTTGTACACTCTAATATTGGCAATAAAACATCTAAAAAGCATTCAGGATGAGTCTTGTCATTATTCTGCCTGGTTATTGTGAAAACTATTTATACACACAAAGGATAAAATATACCTGTGAATTGTGGAATCAGTGACGTATAGGAAACGGCTCTGGATGATTCATTTCAGAGGCATCAAGTACAAAATTGTACATGTACCTACCACGTCACTTACTGTTTTTGTTATGTGTCTTTCATTTCTTCATTTGTTAAGTTTTATTTATTATCTGAATTGATCAGCACCTTGTTTTTCATATTCCTTGGAAAGTGTAACATTTTGTTTGTATTCCAACGTAATGTAAGGGGCTCCTTTCGAGGGCACAGGGACGAATTTCCAATTAAAACCTTTCGAATCGTCACAAAATCAAAGAATGATGCATTTCATCGAGATAAAGATGTCAATAACATACAACAACTAAGCAAATAAAACTAGCAATCAATAAAAATAAGGAAAACTCAAAACATGAACAGAGACGACGGATTGGGGTGTGGATGGAGGTGGGGACAGACCTAATGAGAGAGTGGACTACATCCTCATACACTCTCTATGGATAGGCAAAATATCCCGTGGTGGAGCGACAAGTACAGTTAATAATTTCGCCACATCGTTATACAGGTAAACAATAGAAATCGCTCACTCATGCTATACCATAGCTTGAGCAGTCAGTCTTAAAACTTTGCATCACGTTTCAAAGTACATTGGTTGTGTATAGAAGAAAACGTTGATGCATTCTCATCTAAGGTGTATCCTTCTAGAACTAGTTATATGTAAATGTATATTCATAAGAATGCACTGAATTTACTGTACTTACTTGTAAACTCCAAATCTAAGATACTATAACATTCATCACCATATTTGACATTCTAGTATATATTTATATACTTCATCAACACATTTTATAATAATAGAACTGAGTTAACGATCATTGTTGTTATCTCTGAACCGGCTTTAAATCTTTCATAATTTCCTTCAAGGACTTCAGTGAATTTTAAGACTAGGAGGCTTAACGAAGTAAAATTCGGCGCATCTTTTATATTTACTACTATAATAACACTTACGATTCACATAGATGTATATCACTTTATTGGCATCTTAAACGAAACTTATATTTAGGACGAAAATGTATAAAACAAAGCTACAACAGTTTGTTCCAATAAAATGACATAATTTTATAATACCCAAAAAGTGCACGTATTTATCACAAATATCTGTTGAAAATTACGTACATACGTAAAAATAATCTTAATGCGCCGAATATTACGTCATGGCTCTAAATAATGAAAGGGATCTATACATTTGCATTGGATACTCAAGAATCATGAATGAATCAAACTTTCCACAAGATCAAACAGTTAAAATCCTTAAGGTGAATTATGTACACAATTTATTATTTTGTACGTCTTCGATGTAACGACTCTTTTCATTGGCTAATACAAATGTAACTATGTATCATTGGACGATCGACCATGAGCATGCATGCATTAGTTAAGAAATGATCAACGTATATGAAAATTACGTACATACGTAGAAAAATGTTAATGCGCAGAAAATTACGCCATGGCTCTAAATAAAGAAAAGGATCTATACATTTACATTGAATACTCTAGAATCATGAATGAATTAAACCTTCCAAAAGGTCAAACGGTTAAACTTCTTACATATGTTTTATGAGTTATATACACAATTTACTATTTTCTACGTCTTCGATGTAACGACACTTTTCATTGGCTAATACAAATGTAACCATCATGCAAGCATTATTTAAGAAATGATCAACGTTTATGGGTGTATTATGATGGAATGTATAAGGAGGATTAGAAAACGTTAGGAAAAACATAACTAACCTGAAAGAATCATATGAAAGGGTTTCTTTGCCGAGTGAGGGTTCACGTATTTACTTTCGTATCCGTATTTCAACACTTGATAACGTACAAAGAGGTTGTGTTTAACGTCTACTCTATATGTACTAACAAATTGTGTCACAGCGGCCTGAGTCAATTATTTTTTTCTAATATTTTCTCATCCTTGTTATATATCCTACCATGATTCACGCATATATGCTGATTATTTCTGAACTGATATTAAACGCGGTACATGTATATCACAATGCTTTTCTAATCCTAATGGAACGTGTATTGTCAACAGACGTTGTAATAGTCGTCTTCACTTTAAATACATGTATCGGGTTACGTATCCTTAACATATCATTATCATGCTGCTGATTGTGGTTGTTCGAATGTGAACGTCGAGGAAGGGATGATATCTGTCGAGGATACTTGACCGATTTCCGCGAATATCTATATCTGACAAAAAAGATGACGGATGGCTTACTTTATTCACGATAACGTTTATCTACTTTCCAATGAAAGGAACAGAGGAGTATAGCGATCATATGATTAATATATAACAGTTTACTTGTGTACATTTACTTCCAATGGGGTGTTCTCATTTCCCACACATTTTAGAGAACAAAGAAAAGTGTTGATATATGAAGGCAATGGCAAACCATTTATAGTCTGTTTCATACTTACCCCACAGGTAACTTACATGTGTGAAAGTTACCTGTCTCACTTGAAGCTTTTCTGTATGTAAGGTATTTTTTGGATATATATTTTGTAAGTTTTGATAAACGTTTGGGTGTATGAAACTGACAAAATAAGATAATAAATAAACACATAATTGTCTGTTTATCACATTTCAGGTTGCTAATTTCGCTTTTCTGTGTATGAGATATAATGTAAGGTATTTTTTTGGATATATAATCTTTAAGTTTTAATAAATTTTGATGGGTATGAAACTGAAAAAATAAGATGATAAACACGCACTGAATTGTCTGTTAATCAGACATATATGATATAGAATACAGATATAACAATAAATAAAAAGTAAGAATTTACAGTCATATACATCAATACTTGTATACGTTACATTTCATTTGCAAGCCACCAAAAACAATGAAAACTAAAATACGTACTTAATTAAGAGCTATGGCGGAGAACTGCTCATATTTCCCCAAAGTCGGCATTTATGAATACGGGAAAAGAATTCAACGAGTAAATAATTTCTAGTAGCGAAAATTCATAGAGTAAATAACAAAACAACTGTTTATGATTTTTTTCACTGCTGATATATTAGGTATTGTTAATATAATACTGTAAATATAGCCATATTCACTATATCTATGAAAGTGATGGGGTTTCCTAGACTTAGAATAATATTTCATCACTTTCCTATTCGAGGACAAACTTTTGAATACATTTGTTTTATTCCGTGATGTAATATGCAAAAATAAATCGTATGACGGGAAAGTGGTCCTCATTTGGCTGCTTGGGAAAGTGCTCAAAATAATGAAAAATATGGTTGATCAAGTTTCTCAAAAATGTTTCTTGAGTTGCAACAGATTGTATTTCCATATTAAGTGTAGGCGAATGTGTAACACAGTTTACTTTTGACCAGAAGGAGTGAACAGTGCAACCTCGAATCCACGTTCAGATTCACTTTTTTCACATTTAGGCATGTGATCTTTTTCCTTAACTAAGTAATTTCATTTCAAATCAATTTTATTGTATTAAAAAAACACAATTGGATTAGGCACAGGCATTGCCCATAAAAGTCCTTTCCAGAGAAAATACACACATTTCATGCATGCATATAGAATATCATAGATTTTAACATTTCAATTACTATAGTCTATTAACTTCAATTATTAATAGCCTAGTGTTTGGTTGGAGGCATTTCAAAGACACTGTCACTATACGCAGTGCCATCCTTCCCAATAACACCAGAGTTATTGTTATAAGATAGCAAATACAAACACATTGTAAGATAATTTTTAGTATACACTGTAGTTTAAGTTAAAATCTTCCAGATTTTTCAATAAACTCCAGAACACATGATAGAATACATTTATTTGATTCACTGCTAAGGTTCATATCACCCTTAGTGAAAGTAACAGTATTTAAGATGATGTTATCAATTTCGTTATAACTAGATAACGCATTGAATAAAACTTGTCTTTCATCTATATATTTGGGGCAATTGAGGAAAAAGTGATTTGCATCTTCAATAATATAACCACAGTCACACTTAGGGTTATCTGTTAGATGATCATTATATACATCTGATTTTAATTGGCTGACTTTATTCCGTAGTTGACATAAAGTTATATTCAACTTCCTGGAGCCACAGTATTTAAAAATATATGTACAGTTAGATGGGTGCTTTCCTTAAGTAATTCCAGTTTTAACTGGCTCAATGAAGTGAGTTTTGGAAAAATACAGTCTGGCCTGTTCCATAGAGACATCATTCTAGGAAAAAAAACTATTTTTATACAAGTTGGTTCTGCACAAGGGAACAATAAAGTGTCTATGATGTCTAAGGCGAGGATTAATATC